AAGGAGGGAATTCATTTCTATCTTAAAACAACTCTCAAAGTGGTCGTTTTACCACCACAAGGACTGACCAAAATTAGAGATAAAAAAACAAATGAAAACTACAGAAAAAGTTCATTTTCTTCAGAAAGTCATTCATTCCAGTAGTTCATAGCTACTAAGAAGAAGAAATGTTTTCTTCTCCTGATGATGGCCATGCTGGCCGAAACTAGTCGAGGAACCTAATTGATATAATAAAACAAAAAAAAAATAAAATTACATACAAACCACTGTATCTGACAATTTTAATTTTTTATGATTATTTATTGTTCAAAATACACACACACATATCGCCCCCTATATATATATATATATATATATATATATATATATATATATATATATATATATATATATATATATATGATTTAAATCAATGTACATGTGTGACCGTGAGAAATTTTTTTTCTTTTTTTTTTGTAGTTATAGACATTAGCGGTGTTTGTAGTAAGTATTCTTACAGGTTTATCAATATTCACGCGATGAGCGGCTTGGAAATATTATAGGAAAATTAAAAATAAAAGTAAAAAAGTAAAAAAAAAAAAATCTCCCTAACATAACTCTAATTATAATGAAGCCTGAAATTGCAGCATCTGTTTTTACTACCCACACCCTATGTGTGTGCCGTCCTTTTGTTAACACGGCCGAGTATTGTTGCCCTAGAGAATTATTACCTGGCATCGTGTGAAAAGGTAAGAGCACAAAAATGAATGTATTTGTGAAAAACAATAATGAAAAATTTGAAAGAAAAAACATGGAAATATATGAAAATGTTTCAGTGTTGCTTTTCTTGACTGTCCGATATTCTCAGTTTGTGTTTTTGAGGGAGACTAATCATGATGGCGTATCAACAGAGAGAATCGAAGGCTGAGACAGAAATATTTAGACGAGGGTGGGGGGTTGGAAACAAGGTGAATGAAATAGGAAATATGAAATAAGTGGAGTTATCAAAACTGAATGAATCAGACGGAAAGAAAACCAGGACAAATCAAACAAACGAGAAAATGAAATATAAAAGGAAGAAACATTTCGTAAAAATGAATGAAATTTATAAATAATAAAGTCAGCTTTTCTACTATACATGCAGAACCTGTTAAAAAAAAGATTTTGTCAAGAGGAAGAATAAAAGGAAAAAGTAGGAAAACGAGGGAAAAATGAGATGAAAACTAATAAAAAGGAAAGAACATTAAATGAAAGGAAACTTAAAAAGTCGTAAAAAAACGACGCGCAAAACAATTCAAAGCGTTAACCAATAAAAGACCAGAATGAGGCAAGTTGGAAAGACGAGAAAAATGGCGTATGTGAACAAAAAAGAACGAGGATCAAAAGACGTGTCAGAAAGAAAGAAAGAAAGAAAGAAAGAAAAAAAGAAAGAAAGAAAGAAAGAAAGAAAGAAAGAAAGAAAGAAAAAAGAAAGAAAGAAAGAAAAAGAAAGAAAGAAAGAAAGAAAGAAAGAAAGAAAGAAAGAAAGAAAGAAAGAAAGAAAAAAGAAATAAAGAAAGAAAATAAACAAGAAATATAGAAGGAAAGAGAAAAGAAAGTAAGATAGAATTGGAAAATGTAGAAAAACAAACGTAAAAGAGGAAAACACAGAAAAATAGAAAGAACGAAAGAAAAAAGAAAGAACGAAAGACCAACAGTAAAAAGAAGAAAAGAAAGAAAGAGAGGCAATATAAAACGGTAAGGAAGAAAGAGAAATAATTAAAGTAGCGAAAACAGTAAGCAAAACAAAGAAAGCAAGAAAGAACAAAAGGAAGGAAAACAAAAATGGTAAGTTATGAAAACTAAATGAAGGTAAAAAGAAGAAAATATTGGAAAGATGGAAAGGAAGAAAAATGAAGTGAATAAAAGTAAAGAAATAAGGACACAAAGAAATACGGAGGGTAAGTGGTAAGAAGGAAAGTAAAGGAAAGTAAGATGAGGTAAACAATGGAAAAGAAAAATGTAAGAAAGAACGAAAGAAAAAAGAAAGAAAGAAAAAGAAAGTTAAAGTTGAGAAAAATAGTAAGGTATGGAAATTAATTGAATGAAATATAAATAAAACAATGGAAAGAAAGAAAGAAAGAAAGAAAGAAAGAAAGATGGAGGAACACATAAATCGGTAAAAGGGAAAGAAAAGGAAGAAGAGGTAAATAATGGAAAGTAAAGGAACGGAAGAAAGAAAGAAAAAAGAAATAAAGAAACAGTAAAAAAGAAAAAGGAAAAAAATTGGTAAGAAATGAAAATCAAAAGAAGAATACAGTGGAAAAGAAAGACAGAAAGAAAGAAAGACAATGATGAGGACAACAACGCGAGCAACAAAGAAGAAGAAACAAGAAGTAGGGAAAAGAAGAAAGAAGTAAAGCACGTGAATAAGGAGGAAAAAAGAAAACGGAAAGAAGAAAGAAAAAGAAAGTAAGAGTTGGAAAACAATGGAAAGGAAAATAAATAAAGAAAGAAACGCTCGTAAAGAAAAAAAAAACATGTCGTGTTGATAATGGAAAATCAGAAGCAAAAAAAAAAAAGAGATAAAAACATCCTTAGTGCGAAATAACCCGTTATTCCTATTCGATCAAAAGTGCGCTAGTGCAGAATAAATAAATAAATATATAAATACAGAAACCTGATCTCGAAAACTCGACAGGCTTTGGTAAAGCTAGGTTTGTAGTTAAAAGAAAAAAAATATCGGCTAAAACCATGTGTCAGGGAAAAAAAGCCAGCAGAATTCTCACGCCTTGCTTTGCGTTCAATATACACATCATTTCACGAATAGTGCTACCTGCCCCCCCAACCCTCAACCGTCCGTAACCCAAACCTGTACGACTACTCATGGCACTACCAACAATACTTCCCCACCATGTCTACATGTTTATTTATCTGTCCATGCATTTATGAGGAAGCTTTGAACGTTAGAGATCTGATATTTTACAAGATTATGAATGTAATTTCCGCGTTGAAAAAAAAAAAAAAACACCAGCTAGGGACCGATGAATACGAAGAATTCCATGGATTTTTTACACGTGGGTAACGAATAAATTTTATGGATGCTAAGAACTACAAGATAAATGATCCTTATGATTAGAGTCAGATGAAAATTCTGGATCAAATAATAAAGAAACAATACTTAGAGAAATTAACACTTACATGTCCATATTGAATTCAAGAAAGGCTGGGCTTAACTATCTTACATTGAACATTTTTCTTTAATCATTTCAACACAACCAAGGCAAGAAAGCCACTACGACTCAAGGTTTTACTATGTGTTAGAAACTATGAGAAAATACTATTAAGGACAGACAACAATAAAATAACAAACGTCTTATCTGGAAACCTGGAAAAAAGAAACTCAATTAGTAATTCATCGAGAGTAGAAGAATCCACAACATAATGTAGAAAGCATTGGATGGCTGTATCGTCCTATTTTGGGACTTAACAATAGCCACTATCGAGAATCGAACACGGACCGTTACGATATGACGAACAACATTGCTTAGTTACACCAGTTCTAATCTTTACGGTTTAAACCTGCCATACTACGCAGATTGTAACGAACCATCCCCATTCTTTTCATTCCGTCATAAGGGGATGTAGTGTGAAAAACTGCATTCTGTTGAGGATTCGTCTAGACTCGATTAATTGCTTAAATTATGATTATTCAAATCCTCCTCTTAATATATATATATATATATATATATATATAATGGATACGAAAATTCGGGTTTACAGAACTGTTGCACTTGCCATTCTTTTGTACGGCCCAGAGGTACCATAACGCCAGTTGGATGTTTTCCATAAAAGCTGTCTGCGTGCAATCTGTTGAGTTAACCTTCAATATAGGACATCTAACGTAGACCTGTTTAACAAGTGTAATATTGAAGGAATCGAGACTTTTCTCATACAGTCTCAGTTACGGTGAACTGATCAGGTCTTGATAAGGTCTGATGACAGAATACCCAAGATCCTAATGTATAGCCAGTGAGATCAGGGCTACAGGAACGAAGGACGACTATGACTAAGATACAAAGACAAGCTGAAAAGCAACTTGTCAGCTGTCAATATATCACATAACGCCGTTGAGCGCTTAGCCTTGGAGCAGGTAGAATGGAGATCAACGTGTTTTAGTGGACTCAGTAGTTTTCAATCTGCTTGGCTGAATCATCATCTCCACTTTTCCTTTATATGTGGTCTCCTTTGTAAATCACTGGCGGGTCTTAAATGCTACATAAGATTATCGCACAAAATTCCATAAGTGAATCAACTAAGCTGTCAGATCCTCATATGTCGAAACCGATGAGAGATTATATATATATATATATATATATATATATATATATATATATATATGCACTCAATCCATACCTCAAGTAGGGCCCTACATACGAACCATCTCTAAAAATACCGGGAAAACTGCTATTTCCCTCATCTGCTGGCTTAGTTATCTAATTAATTGTCCTATCCTCTACCTTTACAAGATACGGTGAAAATGGCGTACACTTGCCATATATGGCCAGCATCTGCTCAGTCTTCACATTCCGCTCTCGATATTGTCCAAAAGCCTCTCCGCATCCTTGTGGCTAACGAATTATTTTCCACCCTACAACCCCTTTCTCCCAGACGAAAAGTCACAAGCTTATCTGTCGCTTCTCTCTCGCTATTTCCATGGAAAGTGCTCAGACGAGCGACATTCCTTAGTTCCACTTGTTCTAACCTTCACGTCTAAGACCCTCCATGCCACTCACATCGTAGCAATCTAACGTCATTTCCTTCGTATCCCATTGGTGAGACGTAAATTCCACTTGAGCAGCTTCTTCCCACGAACCGGTGCTCTGTGGAACCGACTCCCGTGAAGGTGCTTCCCCGATCACTGCAATCTTAACCTGTTCAAGTCTAGGTTTAACCGTTATCTTCTCCACATATCCTTATAAACTATCTCTCTTACCTCTTCCTCTCTAACTGTTTATCATATTATTAATTAAGTTGAATGAGAGATTAATTTATAGTTTTCTGCACCGCTCCAGTAAGTACCTGACTCCGCATGCTATCCTCTACATTTATAAGAGCTAGACCAGACCTAAAATGGAGGACTGTTGCCATATTTGGGAAGAAGCTGCTCACTCTACATTTTTCAGTCTCGATAGAATCCAAAAGTATCTCAGCATCCTTGTGGGTGACAAATTATTTTACTCTCTACAACCCCTTTTCTCATAGGCGAAAAGTCGCAAGCTTCTCTGTCGCTTTTCTCTCACTATTTCCATGGAAAGTGCTCAGACGAACAACATTCTTTGGTTCCACCAGTTCTAATCCTCAGGTCTTAAACCTGCCATACTACACAGATTCTAGCGAACCAGCCACATTCCCTTTATATTCCATTACGAGATACAAGTTCCACTCTAATACTTTCTTCCTCGTGAACCGTTGATTTGTGGAAACGACTCCCTAGAGGATGCTTCCCTGATCACTACAATTTTAACTAGTCCAAGTCTAGGGTTAACTGTTATCTTCCCCAACATATATGCATAAACTATGCCTCTACCTCTTACCCGTACCTCGAATTGAAATGCATTACAAGAAAATATATATATATATATATATATATATTTTATATATATATATATATATATATATATATATATATATATATATATATCAGCCAATATCCAATTTGTTTTATGTGGGATTTAAACATTTAAATTTAATGCGTTATAGTTCAGGATTTCAGTTTTAATCTCTAACACGCATAGATGACGAGATTTTAGTTAAATCCTTGAATATAATCGTTTGAAATATCAAATGAAAAGGACCTTAAACTGTACATTTTTGTACAAAAATGTGTATGTACTTAAGGGCACGTACTCAGGTTCCCATATAAGTTTAATCGGGTTATGTGAACATGTAAAAAAATAAAAAATCGGTATATCTATGTATATACATATATGACAGGCACAAAGGGCATACACATACATACACACGCGTGCACACACACATAAAAACAAACAAACACACATATATATGTCGAAAGTATTAACTGATTTATTTTCAATCTGACGTATTTATTACTTCAAACGTTATTATTGTGGAAATTTATTTTATTTAACTGTGTCTTTACGTCAATCGAATTGGGCATTCTGTATATATATATATATATATATATATATATATATATATTAAGGTTTTACATTTGATTACATCAATGCATACATGTTTCGATGCTTATCATAGCATCTCATCAGAGATTTACACACACACACACACACACATATATATATATATATATATATATATATTAAGGTTTTACATTTGATTACATCAATACATCCATGTTTCGATGCTTATCATAGCATCTCATCAGGAGATTTACACACACACACATATATATATATATATATATATATATATTTATTAAGGTTTTACATTTGATTACATCAATGCATCCATGTTTCGATGCTTATCATAGCATCTCATCAGAGATTTACACACACACACACAAATATATATATATATATATATATATATATATATATATATATATATATATAAGTTTTACATTTCATTACATCAATGCATCTATGTTTCTGATGCTTATCATAGCATCACATCAGAGATTTAGACACACACACACACACACACACACACACACACACACACACACACACACACATATATATATATATATATATATATATATATATATATATATATATATATATATATTTCTAGCGTCTGTCCGTTGGTTTATTATCGAACTTCTTTCCATTTTTGGGTTTTCTCCTACTATATTTCGGATCGGGATTATTTCCTTTGGTTAGATTTAAATTTAGTTTATATCAAAGGGAAAAAAAAATCGAGTGACCCCCTTTGATCAAAATGAAGTATAAGTTTCTTAATTGATTCCATTCTTTTTTCAATGACTCTAAGAGCTCTTTTACATCTTTTGGAATGGAAAAGATTTTACTTTTCTGTCAAATCCATCCCATGCTAATTCTGAGGGTCGCTTAAAACTGCAGTGTGTATATATTAAAATGACAATATATGGACGTCAAGCTTTTCAAGAAATGACAAGTCAGTGGTTAGTACATTACAATACATATTTCTTGCGACAATTCAACTGACATGTCAATATTGAAATCTGCTCATCAATACATTTAATCAAGTCTAGCATCAAATATATATCAAAGGGATCAGATCAAGGTGTTTTGGCACAAACACAGAACTGTTTTTTTTTACCCTCGATTTAAATTAAATTTGAATCTGAAAAAGGGAATGATTCCTATTCAAAATTTAGAAGGAGAAAGACAGAAGATGGTCGTCACATCGGTAAGATCATTGAGTAATATTGAAATGCATCATATTTCTACACGAATTATATCAATGATTTAAAATTAATCATCATTTTCTTACAAAAATTATATGACACGCAGCAAAGTGCAAGTAATTCGACTAGAATATATATATATATATATATATATATATATATATATATATATA